CATATACAGCATATATACATATATATACATATACATACATGTCTGTATGTATATACATATATATGTATGTATATATGTATTTATATGTATAGTTAGAAAAGGAAATATATATATATACATATTCATATACAGCATACATATGTACATACATATATACATATAGATATGGTATATATATATATATATATATATATATATATATATATGACATATATATTGCATATATACTGTATATATAGACATTATTTAAGCTCCGCTCCTTTACCATCACATATTGCAACTATTGATAGGATTTCATTTTTCCATTTCGTTCCATATTTTGTTTCGCATTTGTTTACCATTGTCATTAAATGACAAATGTCAAATAGAATATACTGAAGAAACACATAATATATCGCACAGATTGACAGAAGTGAAAATGGGGCGGAGCAAAATGACGTCACCACATAAATGATAATTTGTAAAATCTACTTGCCATTGTCAAAATTACCGTGTCCTCTTAAATACCTTACATATATTTTTATATGTATAAATACGTACACACCAACATATGTATGTATATAAATACATATACAGTATATGCATGTGTATAAATAAATAAATGAATATATACATACATTCATCCACAAACATGCAATGTATATTCGTATAGTTTAACATACTGATAATGAAAATATAGGAAAAAAAGGAAAAGGAATGGTAGCTGTGATGGCTAATAATCATAATCATATCAAAGTAAGTAAAATAATTATGATTATGATATTAGTGAAAATAATACAGAACCATGATAATCTCATAATAATGATAAATGGCATAACACTTACTGGAAACACTGATGTTGAAATAAAACAATGGTAATATCGACAGTTTTTTTTTTTTTTTTTTTTTTTTTGCTAAAACGTCCACCATGTGATTTAAGGAAGCAAAACTATTTTCAATATTCCTTCGCTCATTTAGCCTTGAGACTGAAACAAAAATAACCTAGCAGTGGGCGTGGCTTCGTTTCGGCCACTATATAAGGAGACGCCGCCGAGTCATCGGCAGAGTCGCCGGAGATTCCCTGTGGACATGAAGACTTTGGTAAAGAGTGCTTCTCTTTGCACCATTGTGCCTTTATGTTATAGGTGGGAAGGCTAAGCAAGATTCAATATTTTTTGTTTAAGAGCAACGGCAGTTCTTTTCCTAACACTTACCTCTGTTTAGACTTGAACTGACGAGTATGTGGTTGTGTTGCAGGCCATCGCTGTCGCCCTCGTGGCGTTTGTAGGAGTCAGTGTGAGCGGAGATCCTGAAGCTGATGCTGAGCCCAGCCGCTATGGAGGCGGCTTTGGAGGCCATGGGGTGGTGTCCTACAGACCCGCGTACAACAGCTACGGCTACGGACGCTGGAAGAGGAGTGCTGAGGCTGAGCCTGTAGCTGAGGCTGATCCCGAGGCCGATCCTTCCCGCTTCGGATACGGGCATGGCGGCTTTAGTCACGTGTCCTTCCAACCCGTATACAGCAGCTATGGCTACGGACGCTGGAAGAGGAGTGCTGAGGCTGAGCCTGTAGCTGAGGCTGAGGCTGATCCCGAGGCCGATCCTTCCCGCTTCGGATACGGGCATGGCGGCTTTAGTCACGTGTCCTTCCAACCCGTATACAGCAGCTATGGCTACGGACGCTGGAAGAGGAGTGCTGAGGCTGAGCCCGGATTCAGCTTCGGTCACGGCTTCGGAGGTCACGGCCGCTTCGGAGGCTACAGGGGCTATGGAGGCCACGGCGGAAGCTTTGGTGGACATGGGCGTTTCTACGGCTGAAGGGTTCATTTTTCCCAAGATCAATAAAGCTGAGCAATTCTACACAGTGATTCCTTTAAACATACCAGACTTATAAACACAATTGTCCCTTTAAACAAAATGAAGGAACAAAATCACTGCAGCAAACATTGAAACCGAATGGATTTTGGATAAAAAAAAAAAAAAAAGATGAAACCACGTCCTAGCGCTAATATCTTTTCAGAAAGTATATATATGTAGATATATACATACATTACACACCTGCGTGTGTGCCCACACACACACATACATATGACTAGATGAATATGAAATGTTATTATAAAAAAGCAAGTAGATGAATCTATTCAACTTGGTTCGAGAAGAGCTCGCATAATAATGTTCAACACTGTATCATCGTTGTCCAGAGCAAAGTACAATCCGATTTTCAAGCAAAACGAAAAATAGGCATACAGCAAAGGAGAAATGGTGATAAATGATGCATCATAATAAATGTTGAGTCCTTATTCTTATGATAAATTCAAGAGTTAATCATGGGAGTTATAATTGAGCTTATCAAAGGTGACCTTAGCGATGGGGCAAACTCACATGATGACTCATGAATAAACACACGAACAAACATACATATATGTATTTATTGACATATTGTACACACACTAACAGCAACTGCTCAGCCAAGCCCTATCCCTTTTCCATCATACATTGCAAATATTCTTTGTGTCTTTTTATAGCCTGTATTTCTCTTTCATTCCGATCTAATCTTTGTCATTAATAAAAGATTGTCAAAGCAAATATAATGAAATTCTTATCATAATCTATCGCATAGACTGACAAGAGTGGAAATGGGGCGGAGCAAGCTGGCACCACGTTTAGCCAATGAGCCTGCCCCGTGATGAAATCAGACGAAGGATTGTTTGTGAAGTTTACTATTTAGTGCCATAATCACCAGAAGTAAAGCAACACCAACAATTCTTCCATAATAAAAAAGTATCTCATAGTATAAACAGTTGTCAGTATACTCTAAGAAAAAGTTAACAGGCTAAGTGGAAGTGGTGCTACTTATTCCTTCAAATAACTTATGTATATATAAATATGCACACGCACATATGTATATCATATCAAGTATATGGTTAACATATTAATAATGATATCAAAGGAATATTTTGATGACTATTGTGGTAATAACAGTTCCCAAGCGTGATCATAGTAGCTTAATGATAATCATTACGTTTATATGTATGATAATAATTAATAACCGTGATTACAATCTGATGATAATGCTGAGGGGCATACAACTGCTACCGGAAACACCGATTATATATAATAATATATATATATATATATATATATATATATATTATATATTATATATATATATATATATATATGTGTTGGTAGTATCTATAGATGTACTTCAGTACAATAACGATTCTATAATAGCAGTTCCATTCACCATGATATCTATATGAATAAATATGAATACTAAATATAATAAAAATAAACATGGATAAATCTGATAATCTGTGCATTCGTACACGTATTTCATACAGCAAAGAGCAAATCAATGGGAATGTAAAAGGATTTTTCCTAAAATATGATCCACTTGAGTCAAGGAAAAATACTATCTTCAAAATTGCTCAAGCATCTGCAGATTTTATTAATTTAACCTTGGGACTGAAGTAGAAATAACCCGGCAGTGGGCGTGGCTTCGTCTCGGCCACTATATAAGGAGACGCCGCCGAGTCATCGGCAGAGCCGCCGGAGATTCCCTGTGGATATGAAGACTTTGGTAAATAGCATGTTTCCTTTTGTGGCATTGTCACTCATGTTATGGCTGCAAAATTCAGTATTATTTTTCAGTTCAAAGGCATTTATAGTTCTTTTCCCACCCACCATTACCTCTATTTAATTACTTGCATATATTCCAAGGTGTCATTGACAGATTTGAACTGACGAGTATGTGGTTGTGTTGCAGGCCATCGCTGTCGCCCTCGTGGCGTTTGTAGGAGTCAGTGTGAGCGGAGATCCTGAAGCTGATGCTGAGCCCAGCCGCTATGGAGGCGGCTTTGGAGGCCATGGGGTAGTGTCCTACAGACCCGTGTACAATAGCTACGGCTACGGACGCTGGAAGAGGAGTGCTGAGCCTGTAGCTGAGGCTGAGGCTGATCCCGAAGCCGATCCTTCCCGCTTCGGATACGGGTATGGCGGCTTTAGTCACGTGTCCTTCAGGCCCGTGTTCAGCAGCTACGGCTACGGACGCTGGAAGAGGAGTGCTGAACCTGTAGCTGAGGCTGAGCCCGAGGCCGATCCTTCCCGCTTCGGATACGGGCATGGCGGCTTTAGTCACGTGTCCTTCAACCCGTATACAGCAGCTATGGCTACGGACGCTGGAAGAGGAGTGCTGAGGCTGAGCCTGTAGCTGAGGCTGATCCCGAGGCCGATCCTTCCCGCTTCGGATACGGGCATGGCGGCTTTAGTCACGTGTCCTTCCAACCCGTATACAGCAGCTATGGCTACGGACGCTGGAAGAGGAGTGCTGAGGCTGAGCCCGGATTCAGCTTCGGTCACGGCTTCGGAGGTCACGGCCGCTTCGGAGGCTACAGGGGCTATGGAGGCCACGGCGGAAGCTTTGGTGGACATGGGCGTTTCTACGGCTGAAGGGTTCATTTTTCCCAAGATCAATAAAGCTGAGCAATTCTACACAGTGATTCCTTTAAACATACCAGACTTATAAACACAATTGTCCCTTTAAACAAAATGAAGGAGCAAAATAACTGCAGCAAACATTGAAACCGAATGGATTTTGGATAAAAAAAAAAAAAAAGATGAAACCACGTCCTAGCGCTAATATCTTTTCAGAAAGTATATATATGTAGATATATACATACATTACACACCTGCGTGTGTGCCCACACACACACATACATATGACTAGATGAATATGAAATGTTATTATAAAAAAAGCAAGTAGATGAATCTATTCAACTTGGTTCGAGAAGAGCTCGCATAATAATGTTCAACACTGTATCATCGTTGTCCAGAGCAAAGTACAATCCGATTTTCAAGCAAAACGAAAAATAGGCATACAGCAAAGGAGAAATGGTGATAAATGATGCATCATAATAAATGTTGAGTCCTTATTCTTATGATAAATTCAAGAGTTAATCATGGGAGTTATAATTGAGCTTATCAAAGGTGACCTTAGCGATGGGGCAAACTCACATGATGACGCATGAATAAACACACGAACAAACATACATATATGTATTTATTGACATAAATTGTACACACACTAACAGCAACTGCTCAGCCAAGCCCTATCCCTTTTCCATCATACATTGCAAATATTCTTTGTGTCTTTTTATAGCCTGTATTTCTCTTTCATTCCGATCTAATCTTTGTCATTAATAAAAGATTGTCAAAGCAAATATAATGAAATTCTTATCATAATCTATCGCATAGACTGACAAGAGTGGAAATGGGGCGAAGCAAGCTGGCACCACGTTTAGCCAATGAGCCTGCCCCGTGATGAAATCAGACGAAGGATTGTTTGTGAAGTTTACTATTTAGTGCCATAATCACCAGAAGTAAAGCAACACCAACAATTCTTCCATAATAAAAAAGTATCTCATAGTATAAACAGTTGTCAGTATACTCCAAGAAAAAGTTAACAGGCTAAGTGGAAGTGGTGCTACTTATTCCTTCAAATAACTTTTATGTATATATAAATATGCACACGCATATATGTATATATCATATATATGGTTAACATATTAATAATGATATCAAAGGAATATTTTGATGACTATTGTGGTAATAACAGTTCCCAAGCGTGATCATAGTAGCTTAATGATAATCATTACGTTTATATGTATGATAATAATTAATAACCGTGATTACAATCATGATAATGCTGAGGGGCATACAACTGCTACCGGAAACACCGATTATATAATATATATATATATATATATATATATATATATATATATATATATATATATATATATATATATATATATATATATATATATATATATATATATATGTTGGTAGTATCTATACACGTACTTCATTACAATAACGATTCTATAATAGCAGTTCCATTCCCATGATATCTATATGAATAAATATAAATACTAAATATAATAAAATAAACATGGCTAAATCTGATAATCTGTGCATTCGTACACGTATTTCATACAGCAAAGAGCAAATCAATGGGAATGTAAAAGGATTTTTCCTAAATATGATCCACTTGAGTCAAGGAAAAATACTATCTTCAAAATTGCTCAAGCATCTGCAGATTTTATTAATTTAACCTTGGGACTGAAGTAGAAATAACCCGGCAGTGGGCGTGGCTTCGTCTCGGCCACTATATAAGGAGACGCCGCCGAGTCATCGGCAGAGCCGCCGGAGATTCCCTGTGGACATGAAGACTTTGGTAAATAGCATGTTTCCTTTTGTGGCATTGTCATTTATGTTATGGCTGCAAAATTCAGTATTATTTTTCAGTTCAAAGGCATTTATAGTTCTTTTCCCACCCACCATTACCTCTATTTAATTACTTGCATATATTCCAAGGTGTCATTGACAGATTTGAACTGACGAGTATGTGGTTGTGTTGCAGGCCATCGCTGTCGCCCTCGTGGCGTTTGTAGGAGTCAGTGTGAGCGGAGATCCTGAAGCTGATGCTGAGCCCAGCCGATATGGAGGCGGCTTTGGAGGCTATGGGGTGGTGTCCTACAGACCCGTGTACAATAGCTACGGCTACGGACGCTGGAAGAGGAGTGCTGCCTGTAGCTGAGGCTGAGGCTGAGCCGAGGCCGATCCTTCCCGCTTCGGATACGGGCATGGCGGCTTTAGTCACGTGTCCTTCCAACCCGTATACAGCAGCTATGGCTACGGACGCTGGAAGAGGAGTGCTGAGGCTGAGCCCGGATTCAGCTTCGGTCACGGCTTCGGAGGTCACGGCCGCTTCGGAGGCTACAGGGGCTATGGAGGCCACGGCGGAAGCTTTGGTGGACATGGGCGTTTCTACGGCTGAAGGATTCTTTTTCCCAAGATCAATAAAGCTGAGCAATTCTACGCAGTGATTCCTTTAAACATGCCAAATATTGTGAGCAAGTATCCCTTTATACAACAGTGAACAGTTGTCCCTTTGAACAACCGGAAGGGGCAGAATCACTGTAGCAAGACTCCGACAGAATAGCCTTTGGAAAAACAGCGAAATTTCCGTGCTAAAAGATTTTCAGATAGACTTCACACGTAAACACGCACACACACACACACACACACACACATATATATGTGTGCATATGCGTGTGTGTGTGCATACATATATGGTTAGTTTAATAAAATGTTAATCTAAGGAAAAATTAACATATGAAATTATTCAACTTAGCTCCAGAGGAGCTCGCATAATACGGCTCAACATTGCATCAAGTTGGTGCATAATTACACAAGTCACTCACAAGAATTTGCATATGTACTTATATGTTCTTAAATATATATTTATTTGTTTCAATATATATACATATATATGCTCCTAATGCATATACACATATATATATATACATATACATACATGTCTGTATGTATATACATATATGTATGTATATATGTATTTATGTATAGTTAGAAAAGGAAATATATATATATATATTCATACAGCATACATATGTACATACATATATACATATATATGGTATATATATATATATATATATATATATATATATATATATATATATATATATATATTATATATATTTATATAGACATATATATTGCATATATACTGTATATATAGACATTATTTCAGCTCCGCCCTTTACCATCATATTGCAACTATTGATAGGATTTCATTTTTCCATTTCGTTCCATATTTTGTTTCGCATTTGTTTACCATTGTCATTAAATGACAAATGTCAAATAGAATATACTGAAGAAACACATAATATATCGCACAGATTGACAGAAGTGAAAATGGGGCGGAGCAAAATGACGTCACCACATAAATGATAATTTGTAAAATCTACTTGCCATTGTCAAAATTACCGTGTCCTCTTAAATACCTTACATATATTTTTATATGTATAAATACGTACACACCAACATATGTATGTATATAAATACATATACAGTATATGCATGTGTATAAATAAAAAATGAATATATACATACATTCATCCACAAACATGCAATGTATATTCGTATAGTTTAACATACTGATAATGAAAATATAGGAAAAAAAGGAAAAGGAATGGTAGCTGTGATGGCTAATAATCATAATTATATCAAAGTAAGTAAACAATTATGATTATGATATTAGTGAAAATAATACAGAACCATGATAATCTCATAATAATGATAAATGGCATAACACTTACTGGAAACACTGATGTTGAAATAAAACAATGGTAATATCGAGTTTTTTTTTTTTTTTTTTTTTTTTTTTTTTTTTTTTTGCTAAAACGTCCACCATGTGATTTAAGGAAGCAAAACTATTTTCAATATTCCTTCGCTCATTTAGCCTTGAGACTGAAACAAAAATAACCTAGCAGTGGGCGTGGCTTCGTTTCGGCCACTATATAAGGAGACGCCGCCGAGTCATCGGCAGAGTCGCCGGAGATTCCCTGTGGACATGAAGACTTTGGTAAAGAGTGCTTCTCTTTGCACCATTGTGCCTTTATGTTATAGGTGGGAAGGCTAAGCAAGATTCAATATTTTTTGTTTAAGAGCAACGGCAGTTCTTTTCCTAACACTTACCTCTGTTTAGACTTGAACTGACGAGTATGTGGTTGTGTTGCAGGCCATCGCTGTCGCCCTCGTGGCGTTTGTAGGAGTCAGTGTGAGCGAGATCCTGAAGCTGATGCTGAGCCCAGCCGCTATGGAGGCGGCTTTGGAGGCCATGGGGTGGTGTCCTACAGACCGCGTACAACAGCTACGGCTACGGACGCTGGAAGAGGAGTGCTGAGGCTGCCTGAGCTGAGGCTGATCCCGAGGCCGATCCTTCCCGCTTCGGATACGGGCATGGCGGCTTTAGTCACGTGTCCTTCCAACCCGTATACAGCAGCTATGGCTACGGACGCTGGAAGAGGAGTGCTGAGGCTGAGAGGCATCCTTCCGCTTCGGATACGGGCATGGCGGCTTTAGTCACGTGTCCTTCCAACCCGTATACAGCAGCTATGGCTACGGACGCTGGAAGAGGAGTGCTGAGGC